ACCAATTATATGAAAAAATAAGAATCATTATATCTCAAACATTTTCCCCGGTAGAACTTCTCCACCAAATTTTCGAAAACCAACAATTGCATACATAGAACCAGGATGGAAACGATTTCCATGGTCAACTCCAGTCATCGATGATTCATCAAGTAAACGTAACGTACTTAGCGGAATGTCTGGGAATGTGTTACTGCAAACAAATAATAATATTCACAGTCTTATTAGATCAGAGAAAAACAAGGCCAGCAGAACCTTGTTCACTTTTACTGTGACATTTCCGTAATACAATAATATGTGATTCGGGAAACTGATTATGAATGTCTTGTTGAATATTCTTAATATCCAACCTGAATATCTCTTCACTATCCTCCGGTTCAGTGCCATTGACCACAGTAAAATGGAAGGCTATTAGTTGATGACTGCTAAGATAGCGCAATTCCTTCCGCTGAAAAAGGACACAATTAGAAAAGTTATAACGAGCATGTTTTTGATAAATTTTGACAACACGTGAAGTCATGCAAGAAACGCAGTCAAACCCCAAAATCTTGAAGAACTGACATGCTTTTAATGAGAAAATGACTTCAGAATATTAACGATTACGAATAAACTGAAGTAAATTAAAAGATAATTAGAGCGAATAAACAAGTCAAACCTTCCAGTTCTCAAACTTTGTTCTCAACGTTTCGCTGTTATTTTTATCTACGACAAGGGTCGACGCGTTTACATCAGATCCGTGGAATATTAACACTCTGCCAGTCCCTATCGGATTGATGCGTGCACCGAAATAGACATATTTATTGCGACAATGTTAAAACATTCATCGTTTTTTCATAATTATTGTAGCATTCGCCCTATTTCGTAGACCGTCAAGGAAGACATTCTTATTCGACACCGGAATTAATGTTCGTCTTATCAAAAACATTCTGTGGATGAATATTGTCGTAATCAACTCTTTCCGATGTTGCGCCATTCTAGATTGATCTGTTAGCCGAGAAACAATCAAGTCTAACTTACTTATTTTCCTTATTTCGATTATCCGATTGAGCAACAATACAAATTGGTACATCTCGTACAAGCTTTCGAATTTCGTCTGCTACAGTCAGTGCTTCACTTTTAATGCCTTCATCAGTATATTTGAGATCGTTACTAATCACAATGGCCAATACCACAGGACCCTGGGATTCATGATTATTTCATTAGGTTCCCAAGATCGTACTTTTAATAAGCTCTAGAAATGAAATCCTATGGAGAATTCAATTCACTATAAACATAATACTTTGGGGTGTTGCATACTGATGTATGCATTAAGCTTTAATTAACTCACTTTATGGATATGCAATGTGGAGAGAAATGTCCAGTATCCACTGAAAAAATTGTTAGAGTTAAGGACAAACATGACAATGATTTAATATACCCATTGAATATTAAATATTTAGTAGAGTTTTGTATTGATCTTTCGGGGCGGAATGAATTACACTCTTGGTATATTGGCTCAATTCTAATTCTAATTGCATTCCTTAATTAAATTGTTTCC